TCCTCGTTTTCAACAATATGCTAGGGAATATTCCTAAGATCATCATCTGAGCTGTGCCGTTTTCATTGCAATTTATGACATAAGCACCCTGGACAAATCACCATGCAGATAAATATCAAAAACATTGCACATATTATTATAGAAACACCAATGAAATACCAAGTGAGCTTTTGCACGAAAACATGTTATCTTCACACATGAAAAGATCACCGCTGCTATGGTTACCAATGATTTGGTATTTCATTAGTGTTTATAGAATAAACAACTGCACTCACTTGTGAAATATTTTTCAACTCTCGAAGAGAAATTTTGTATCTCCACGTGGTCATGTAATATCCTCTATATCTGTATTAAGTCTGTAGAACCAGTTTAATAATTCACCTTTTTCAGACACACCATTATTGAAGGTGAGAGAAAGAGGTACACCTGTATATTCATTGAAATACTGTAAGTTACCTTTTTAGTTATAATCATTAAAACAGAAACCACCATATTATTGCACAACTTACTTGTAAAAATTCAGAAAAAGCGTTAAAGCATCTACTTAATTAAAAAATATCTCGTTCGCCGTTTCGAACAGGCAAATGCTATAGATAACTCAGTGGGTAAGCTATCAAAAAAATTGTACAGGAAACTAAGACGAGCAGTTAACTAAGACATCTGAATCTTGCTTTCTTATAGCTTTTATGTAAAAAAAAAATACGTACAAATGATTACTAGAATATAGTAGTGCTTTCTTCTGCTTGACATGAGCACAAACAGGAGCAGAACTTGCCTTGCGTAATCACCCTGCTGGACAAACGCACTGATGGAAAAGAGCTTACTGAGGGGTGGGCAACACAACTTGAAACTTCCAACCACGTACCACCACTTGGCCTCAGTTAACTTTGCCAGCTGTTCCTCTGTTGCTAAGATAACATGTCTTTCTTTGCAGGTTTCAACTTCTGCACAGGAAATTTTCTGGTATGCTTCACACATTGATTATGAATTCAAGGTCAGTTGGTTCTGGTAGACATCTCGCCTGTCTGCAACAGTTGGCTGCTCTAACTGATGTCTCAAGCTTTGGCGGTGTCAGCAAGGCAGCAGTAGTCACCATATAACCAGGCAAGATAGTTGACTTCTGAAACATATTCAAATACAATGATTCAACATCTTAATTTCTAACAAAGTTGCAGCCCTCACTTCTGATAAGAGATAAACTAGGTTTCATTTCAGGGAAACATCTTTATTCCCCCATGGCCTGATTGTTCAAAGGTTGGATAAAGCTATCAACCCAATAAATCACTATCCAGCTGTTTGTTGTAGTAGTAGAAACTTTATTAATCTCCTCAAAAAGGCTTTTCAGCTTAATTTTCAATGTCAAATATCTAAAACTTATTTTTCCAAAAATGCCCTTAAAAAGTGCTGTTTTATTTTTGCTTTAAATACATCCAAATTAGTGATAGACTGAAACTCATCCGGAAGACTATTCCATAGCTTTTGGCCTCTGAAAGTAAATGCATGCTGACCTGCAGCCGTCCTACATAGTGGTATATGTATCTGTAGACCAAAGTAGCATGAAACCATGTCTGATGATCAAATTTCCTCGTTCCAGAAACTATCTGGGCTGCAAAGTTTTACACTGTTTGTAATAGCTCAATGTTTTTCTTGGTGGTATTAGCTCATACTGATTAATTTGACAAAGGCTACCTATACATTTCGAAGTTACTTGAGTTACATGTTCATCATACGTTAGATTACAGTCCATTGTAACTCCCAGGTTTTTCGCAGAATTAGATGATGTAATGTCCTTGCTGAGTAGTGTAATGCTTAGATCATCTGGTATTTTCGTCAGCATCTGCGGAGTCCCCAGAACTAGAAGTTTTGTCT